ACACTTGAGTATGTTTACTGTTTATTTTATTTTGTGAAAGCTGTGCAAACTCTGGTTTTCTATTTACACCTTCACCACTAATATTTACTGCATGGGATGCAGAAGTACAAACTTTATTGCATGTCTGAATATTAGTTTTTTTGTTTGTTTGTTTTTTACAGATTCCCAAAAAAATTAAAAAGCAATACTTTGGCTCTGATGCCGCCACATTTATCTGTAATGTTCTACCCACAGGACATCACTGGAACGTTTTATTAAACATGTAAGACATGAATAGAAGTCATTTAAAGTGTTTGTTTTTTTTTTTTGCATTTTAACACCATGATTTTACTTTTAAATCGGTTATCAGCCTCCTTCGTTACTAATAACCAGTCCTGACCAGCTCTTCTTATGTAAAATTTTAACATCTGTGGCTGTTTTATAACAAGCTCTAGCACTGAGCAGCTATGTAGGAGCGTTTAGAAAGTTTTCACCAAAGCTGAATTCTTCTACTTTGTCCCCTCATCAGTTGAGCACTACCTTCTTTTGTTAGAGCTTGATTGTGATACACACTACAATTGAGACACATCACCAGAACTGTGCCTTATTTGCTGTGTGACTAATACCATGTGGGCCCACGCGTCATTATATAAGAAAACAATCACTTCTCCCCTTTCTTGTTTTTCTGAAATGTCAACTGGGCCGATGAGAAAACGTAACAAACAAATCAAAAGGTATAGGCAAACTGCATCAGCATGCTTGCAAAACTGCATTCCTATAATAATAGCAGCAGTGTTTTTAAAAGGGCGCAACCGTACCGTGGTGTCCCGTAATCTGTCGGTTGGCCCTGCAATAAGTGTTTTTAAGGACATGTTGCGTAAGGTTAGCAGTGCCCTGTCACTGTTTCCTGGCTTATGTAGGTATTTCCCAAGATGAGGTCAGGGTTCCTTCAAGGCCTCTGGCATAATTAGATTGAGGAACGCCTAGTCTTTACATAAGTTAATCCATCCTCCACGCAAACATGCAGCGAGAGGCTTTACAACACGCACAACAGATAGAACACGGCCTCCAAACGAGCCCGTGATTTAAAAAAAATATCAAAAATAAAACGTTTTTTTAAATAGACTGTTTTCACCGATGCCTGACAAAGAACATTTGTATGAACTGCTGCTCAAAGACATGGGAAAGGATTAGTTCTTCCTCCGCACTACTCCAACAAGTCTTAGCGGAGATTCCATGACTTCACCACGAGGTCTTCACCATAAACAAACAACATTTGTTCGTGTCTATAAGCGCCTGAGGCTACTTCCAGATAAAAAACACAACCCTTTATTTTCACTCACAGTTTCAATTCTATAATTGTCCTTAAACCATATGAGGAGCATATATTTAATGTAAATCTAGGCCATCCAGTGTGAACGAGCTGTTGACAGAATTACCGGGATGGTTGTCAGAGGGATTAACCTTTGCTCAGCCGGCAGCCAGTGACATCAGGAACGGAGATATTCTCATTGAAACTCTGCTCAGTGTCACCGCCCAATCTCATTTACTGTCCTGCACATAAACAGGGTGTTTTTAAGAGGACAATGCTGCAGCGATGAGGTAAGCTCGGCAGGTTAATTCTCAGGCAAAGCTTAACCAAACAGGCTTTTCTATTTGGACGTAGTTACATAACACCCCACTTAACAAAGGAAGCTGTTCTTGGTGTGTTTAGTCATGCCATCGTAGGGTTTCTGTAAAAAGATCGCTGTCCACATCCACGCAAACTATTAAAAACCCAGGAAACATTACACAATTGATTGTCGATTTCTCTAAATATTTAACTATCATTAAATTTGGTCTCAAATTTTTTATTTTGTCACAGAACATTAATTTAGAATCGTGACTACAGGTCCCTGCTAAAATAGAGTGTATTCAAGCAAAAGGTATTCAAACTAAATCCTGTCAGTACAGTAGTTCCCCAGGATGGTAGAGGTCAAAGCAGACATTTATATTCAATGTAGTTTTACAGACTGCTGCCAAAATCCAGATGCTTCACAGCAGCTGCATCCTTATTAACATTATTATTAACTTCCCTCATACATGCAGCATTCCTTAAAGCACATTAATGTATGAATAGTGTTTAAAAACAACCACCAAAATTGCAATGAACCGCTGCTGCAGTGACGATGCAGTAAATACAAAACAATACAAAAACCCTAAAACATTCTCAGATCAGGGATTTAATTTAGTAATTTTAGTGAAAAACCTATTTCAGTGTAAATTATGTCAGGAGTATAAAACTGCAGTCATTATTCACTGAGATGTCAACTATTAAACTATTTTGATAAATGATTTGTCGGTTTGGGTAATTAAGGAAAAAAAAAAAGTCTTTCAAAAGTCTCAGACTTTAGGTTCTTAGCGTTGAATATTTTCTGGTTTCTTTTCTCCTCCCAGACAGCAAACAGAGTTTTTTTTGGGATGTAATGTTGGGCTTTGAGAAACCGTTTTCTGACATTTCACAGCCCAAATAACTAACAGATTAATCAAGAAATGAAAATGAAAGTAATTGTTAGCTGCTGTTCAGTTCCTGCTTAACTAGCAGATGGTGAAAAAGAAAGAAAATTCTAGAAAGCACTGAAATGAAAGAGAAAGTATTCCTCGCATGTTGTCTTTAAAAACAAATGGTTGATCAAAGGTCTCTTACCTTTCTGTGGGCCTTTGGGGTCTTTAAGCTCTTTCTGTGCCTCTTCGATTTTATCTGCAACACAAGAACAGAAACCATTTTCAGCTCAGAGGACTGCGCTCCACAGAGCAGAATGTGGCTAATGATACTGGGGATGCTTCCCACACGGCTGCAGCAGGATGAAGGTCTCTCAAATGAAAAACAGACATTCTTCCACGGCAGAGAGAGTGCACGATTCCATTATGGAAACTACTGTAATCACGAAGGGGCGCACACCGAAAACAATCAGGCAGGCACACCCCCCTACAGAAGTAACAGCACCAGTATGTTTAATGCAAACAAGTCAATACGGAGGGCTCCTGCTCATTATCACAGAGTGAGCTGTGCACTAACCCACAGATCAATTTCCATATTTAAATGCCATTTGCACCCCTCGGGGAGACAAATTCACCCCACTCAGGCCTTTTATATGTCACAATCATCACCCACCATCCAGCAGGTGAAGAACCTGTTTTTGTATGAACCATGTGGGTGTGTGGGAGGTGACGCAGTACTGGCTGTGCGTTACTGTAATCAATATTAATTATATACACCGGCTCACTGTGGTGCGAATAGGTTATTCACAGTGGAATGGAGGCAGATAGACAAGGTAAACCCTCTATTTTCCTGCTGCTGCAGGTCACTGCTGCCGGCTGTGTGAGGGAGGAAGCATATGGAAGGTGTAAATACAAACCCAGCAGGCGTTCACTTTAGTTTATGAACTCTAAAAAAAAAAGAAAAATTGGGGAAATTTTCATTTGTTAAATCAACTTGGAACGAAAATGTAAAAAAAAATTTCCTGAACTGATCGTCGCCCACATTAACAGTTAATAATCACGTTACTGCTGAAATGAATTGCACACGGCGGTAATGTTCACCCAGAAACCAGCTCAGTTACATTAGAAATATGCAGAACAGATAAACACTGGGTTACTTGAACTAGAAATTAACTCACAGAAAATAACAGCTTCATTTACAACAGTTGGCCCAACAAAATCGACTGAAGTATTAAACGCAGCAGACGAGCTGCAGCTTTACACAGTAAATAACCTGTAACGTTATTAATCTCTTCACGGCAGTTTGATATGTGAATAATCACAGCTGATCTACATGGCGGAGCAACTCGTTAACTGGAGCTGATCCACAGATAGCAGGAATCTGTCGGTATTTACTGCCACCGCTAAAATGGATTTATACTCAGAGCTGAGCGACGCCGATAAACTTCCTCATTTTAATAATGTAATCAGAGTCCTGCTACGTCTGAACGTTAGCGTCTCTGCTAACGGACACCCAGCTTCCAGCCTGTTAGTGTTTTAGCGTTAGCATGAGGCTAGCTCAGGTTGCTAGCTACACCGCACAACCATAACAACGCTGCAGAGTTCATCAACAGGACTGCCAGCTAGCAGCTAGAAAAAGGTGCGCACAATTTAAGCAAACACAACTGTAGCTCCGTCTAAATAAACAACATCCACCTGGTGGACCAGACAGATACTACAACATCTTCTGTCTTACTGGTTTATGTGTTTTTTATTGATTAAAACAATAATGTTTAAGGATTCATAATTATTCTTTAATATCTCTGTTTTGAGGAAGTGAAAAGAAACCTTCAGATCTTTCTGCTCATCATTCGCTTTATTTTTTATCATGCAAACTGTATTCGGAGCCTTTTTGACGGCTTAGTTTAATATAAAATAAAGTGATGTCTGTGAAGACTCTCAGTCGTCCAGGTCGCGGTTATTCTCGTGGTTTAATCGTAGCAACTGGACTTGCTTGAGTTTCTTGAAGACGTTTCACTTCTCATCCAAGAGGCTTCATCAGTTCTCAGAACTACTACGAGAACAAGTACAGTGATTTTTTTTTTCTTGCAGCCTTCTAGAAATCCAGTTAAACGTGTGCACGCAACACATTACATTACAGAGACACATCTAGCAGCACTGTAGCATGTTCCTGCCTCCCTGATCATGGAAGCTGGATGGAAGAACAAACCCATGGAGGTTTCTGTGCCCTGCACATGACATTAGAGTGAGAGACCGTCCTCGAGGACCAGCGGTAGCAATTTTGTCCTAGATTGCACAAACGCTAATGGAGGGTGAAAGAGGATGTTCTTCTGTGGTTCCCAAATTCACAGCGCGATGCCGGGAATACTCAGAGGAGGGGCGGACAGGATCGGGCCGCGGACGAGGTCAGTGGATTATGTCATAATGTGTGTGTGTTACTACAGTCACACCCTTCTTCATCTCCCTCTATATCCCAGGCACACGCCACGCATTACATAATGCATCCCCACCCCTGCGCTGCCGTGGAGCAAAACAAAGGCACCCTGCCAGCAGAAACACAGCAACCGAGGCACACGAGGAGAGGCCAGAGTGTTTGTTTATGTGCAGAAAGGTAGACTGAAAGAAGAGAGGTATGTGTTTGTGTGTCTCTGCTCTATTTACATATAAATGACCATGTGAACGCCCTTGGCACCCGACAAAGGAATCGCTGTGTTTTCCTGGCAACGAAGGCGGCGTGGTATTTCTCCAAACAGAGAATCCCGAAGCTTCCCTCCGAGTCATGCCTGCCTCGGCTCAACCTCGCAGCTTCCTCCGCTAAATGGCTGCGTTGCTGCAAACCAATTTGAGATAATAAATGCTTATTTTAGCGGTTAGAGGATGTGGAGGTAGGTTTTCTCTAGCATGTGCTTCATTGTTTGCACAGCTTGATACATATGTCTTGTATTAGACCGCACTGGCAAACCGAGGCGTAAGTGATTACTGCCCACCAAAAATCTTATTAGTGGTTGTGTATGAGTGTAAGCTATTACAGATCAGATTCCTCTTCTTACATAACAAGCCACAAACAAGACCCCTCACGCTGAATGACACCCGTGAAGTGGAGCTCTGGAGGATGGAAAAGAACAGGAAACACCAGCCCAGATGAGTGGAAAGGGACAAGCAGCGCTGCCCTCAGAAAGGACAAAAAAAGATTCCATCCACAGAGCCCAGATTATTAAGCCAGCAGGGAATGATTACAGGCTCGTTCATATTTCCTTCATTACGGCTGTTGGGGTTACCGAGGTGGTCCGGGTGATATTTCACCGCGGAGCTTCGAGGAATACATCATGCCATCTGAAATCTGTGTAATTGTGCTGTAACCACGGGGAAACAACAAAAGGAATCCACACGAACACCGGCCCTGATGAAAACCAGAGCGCGCTGCCGAACACGACCGCGACATCTGAGCGAAAACACAGTTTAAAGGAACTCAGAAGGTCCCACTTACAGCCAAACTGTTTACAAGTGTGGTTTAAAGCAAAACAGAAAATTATTTGTAGGACACTTAAAACTCCTACTTGGTAATAATGTGCTGTTACAGGCTGCAGACGAGTCACCGTGTCATAATTCTCACTGGAGTTCCTTCCAACCAATAAATTACATAAAAAAGTCGCAGAAGCTTTTGCGAAGCACGTTGAACTACTGGCCTGAAGCTTTGTCAGCTTTAACACACCATCGTAAGCAAATGGAAAGTGAAGCATCTGACTGGTTTCAATAATTCAGTGGATTAAGAGTCAATGACCTGAGAACATTTTTTAAAAAGTGGTCGAGATGCTTCATCTTTCAAGAGGTGTTTAGTCATTGTTCTCTAATGCTGCCGATGCCTCAACAGTCCCACAACTATCGAGCAGGAAGAAACAGAACCAGGACGGCGGTGAAATGCAGATGGAGGTTCGGTCTGGAGGTGGTCGACTCCTGATCTCCTGATATGTGAGGATGTGCGAGGATCCAGCTGGGAGGGGCCGGAGTAGGCGGGTGCATGTCAATTAGGCAGGAGTTTGTGGGCGAGGGAGTCGGTCTCCTCGCCGGTCGCTGTCATGACAACCACGAATCTTTAATGCCCCCCCCCCCTCCTCGCATCTTCCAGCCCACTCCTCGCTCTGTCTACAACGAGTGGGAAATGTGATTAGTCGTGCCCAGAGGACAAAAATGACGCAGAGGAAAAACGTGCGCGCTGTTTTCAGTCCCGACGCCCACCTGGAGTGGGTTTACAACCTATCAGCTGCGGCCGTGGAGGGTCGCTGGGTGCTGCTCGGTGGGAGGGAAGCCCGTCCAAACCCCATCAAGGCGTTGGACGGACATAACGAGCGAAGATGTGGCTGCGGATCCAAACACGTGCTAATGAACCGGAGCGCCGACTCACACAAGTCGTGATTCCAGCTAATGAATGACAATATTACACTAGAATGTGAGAAAATGCTGCAACTTCCGTCTGTTTCTGGATTCAAACCCAGAACCTGCATCCAAACATGCTCCTCCTGTGGCTTCGCCCGCCGAGCTACAGCCAGACGAGAAGACAGCTCCGCAATGTGCTGGAAAAACACCGCGTGTGCATTAACAATGAATCAGCAGCTCCAGGTCCTGAGCATGAACACACATCGCTCATTTTCCACACTCCAAACACCAAGATACTGCAAGTTGAAGATGTTTTTTATCCATTAGGGTTTTACAGCTGAAATACAGAAGCTAATTTGAGTTGTGAGAAAGACGACTCCTGTGGCTGTTTTTTAATTATCTGCTAATGGAGACAAACTTGTGCGTTTTGTTTTATGGTCTCCACAAACCACGTGAGCTGGTCACATGATACGCCGCTAAAAACTCTAAAAAAGCTGAAAAATCCTTCACTTTAGAGGCAAACACCTCCAAGACGGAACATTTTTAGCAAACAATAAGAAGTGCAATATAAAATAAAAGCCGTGGGAGTATTTTAGGTCTTGAATAGGGTCTGTAGGTGCTCGTCTGTCGGAGCAAGACGCTGTTTGTTCCACAGAAGTCTCTTCTCTCGTGGGTTCTATTCATTTTTTAAAATCGACAGCTACATATATCTGCACTAAAACTGACAGAAAGCATCTACGTGCTTCATGTTTGGAACCATGTTTGTATCAGCGGGCTACCGGAATAAACATACAGGCGAAAATAGAAAAATAAGAAAGAGCGAAAGAAAACAATTCCCACTAATTACAGTGAACGTCGACCCATATGGAGCCGCATCACAACTGC